CCCATGTCCAAATTGATAGAAGGGGGGGGATGTCCAAAAATCGTTCTCTAGGAATATACCCAAATGAAATTTTAATAAAGTTACAGTTTTGTCAGAGCAATGTTTTATGATTTAATTCTGTAGCAAAATAGTAACTTTTTATGGAATATCGATTAAAATTTAAAGATGATAGATTTAATGAAAGGTACCATCTCGTAACTACCAGAATCCCCCCTCCAAAAAAATAAAAAAAAATTATGACTATTTACTTTGCATGTCAGATTTCTGTTTTAATATATCTATTAAACTTAACAATATTGGAAATTAAAATTTAATTTTTGATGTAAAATTTAGTATTTAAAAAGTAATTGAAATCTAATCTAATGTGTATCTTGTATCAATCAATAATTAGATACTTTTAGAAATACAAAAAAGCTAAACATAAATGTATATATCATACAATTTATTTCAAAATGATAATGTAACCACAAAAGAAATTTATTTGGTTGAGCTAGAGACCACATTTGGTTAAACTAGACCACATTTAGATAAACTGACCACATTTAGTTAAACACGACCACATTTGGTTAAACTAGACCATATTTGGTTAAACCAGACCACATTTAGTTAAACTAGACCACATTTAGTTAAAATAGACCATATTTAGTTAAACTAGACCACATTTGGTTAAACTAGACCACATTAAGTTAAACTAGACCACATTAAGTTAAACTAGACCATATTTGGTTAAACTAGACCACATTTAATAAAACTAGACCATATTTGGGTAAGCTATACCTCATTTAGTTAAACTAGACCATATTTAGTTAAACTAGACCATATTTAGTTAAACTAGACCACATTTAGTTAAACTAGACCACATTTAGTTAAACTAGACCACATTTGGTTAAACTAAGCCACATTAAGTTAAACTAGACCATATTTTGTTGAACTAGACCACTTTTGGTTAAACTAGACCATATTTAGTTAAACTAGACCATATTAAGTTAAACTAGACCATATTTGGTTAAACTAGACCACATTTAATAAAACTAGACCATATTTGGTTAAGCTAGACCTCATTTAGTTAAACTAGACCATATTTAGTTAAACTAGACCACTTTTGGTTAAACTAGACCACATTTAGTTAAACTAGACCACTTTTGGTTAAACTAGACCACATTTGGTTAAACTAGACCACATTTAGTTAAACTAGACCACATTTGGTTAAACTAGACCACATTTAGTTAAACTAGACCTCATTTAGTTAAACTAGACCACATTTAGTTAAACTAGACCACATTAAGTTAAACTAGATCACAATTGGTTAAACTAGACCACATTTAATAAAACTAGACTATATTTGGTTAAGCTAGACCTCATTTAGTTAAACTAGACCATATTTAGTTAAACTAAACCATATTTAGTTAAACTAAACCATATTTAGTTAAACGAGACCATATTTGGTTAAACTAGACCACATTTGGTTAAACTAGACCACATTTGGTTAAACTAGACCATATTTTGTTAAACTAGACCACATGAAGTTAAACTAGACCATATTTAGTTAAACTAGACCACATTTAGTTAAACTAGACCATATTTGGTTAAACTAGACCACATTTGGTTAAACTAGACCACATTTGGTTAAAGTAGACCACATTAAGTAAAACTAGACCACATTTAGTTAAACTAGACCATACTTGGTTAAACTAGACCATATTTGGTTAAACTAGACCACATTTGGTTAAACTAGACCATATTTTGTTAAACTAGACCACATTTAGTTGACTAGACCATATTTGGTTAAACTAGACCATATTTTGTTAAACTAGACCACATTTGGTTAAACTAGACCACATTAAGTTAAACTAGACCACATTTGGTTAAAGATTTTCAGATTTTTAAGCAAAGGTTAAAGTATTCTATCATATCTAGTTTAAAACTATAAAGGGTAACCCTGAAAGGTTAAAGTATTCTATGATATCTAGTTTAAAACTATACAGGGTAACCCTCAAAGGATGAAAATTCAGGGAAGATTTTACATGATCAATTCAATATTTTTTCCTACTTTCACAAATATTTAATTATTACAATGCCTAAGACACTATATAAGATAAAAGACCAAATTCAATTTTCATCATTTTTTAAAAGTTAATTAGTTTGAATTGGGGTTTGCATATAGAGTGACCTGCGGATTTATCATTTATGCAGCAGACAATGAAGAAAATGGTCAGAATTGAGCTTAATTAAATTCATAAAAACGACGATACTTTTATAATTGTTACTCGGATTGAGGTTCATATGATACCTTTTGTTTTACAGAAGATCATCTTGAAACTATGTGCCAAGTCCCTTTATGGTCTTATCTCAATATGTAACTTTGTATATGAGTTAAATTACCCAAGTATACCCGCATAACCTTCTCTTTATTACACTTGAGAAACTAGGATTCTCTAGATTTAATACTCTCTTTAACCTTAACTTAGATTCAGCCCGACCCTCCCCCATCTCCCCATTATTTGAGTATCTCCGCTCTTCCCAGTATATCTGTATACCCCCACCACCCTAGTATATTGCATCCCCTCCAACATCCACTATTTGTAAAGAGTTAAGACTTTAAATCTATTATTCAGGAAATCAGTTTGATGAAAGACAAAACCAGACCTGCTCTTCTAGAATCCCAACCTTCATCCTCTCCCTCTCCTCTCTCACCACCAGTCCAGGTAAACCCTCCCTGCTCTTCTGGAATCCCAACCTTCATCCTCTCTCTCACCACCAGTCCAGGTAAACCCATCCTGCTCTTCTGGAATCCCAACCTTCATCCTCTCTCTCTTCACCAGTCCAGGTAACCCCGTCCAGCTCTTCTGGAATCCCAACCTTCATTCTCCCTCTCTCCACCAGTCCAGGTAAACCCGTCCTGCTCTTCTGGAATCCCGACCTTCATTCTCCCTCTCTCCACCAGTCCAGGTAAACCCGTCCTGCTCTTCGTCCTCTGTCTCTCCATCACTCCGAGTAACCCCGTCCTGCTCTTCTGGAATCCCAACATTCATCCTCTCTCTCTCCTTTCTCTCCACCAGTCCAGGTAAACCCGTCCTGCTCTTCTAAATTCCCAACCTTCGACATTTGTTCACCAATTAAGGTTTATTTAAGTATTCATTTATTCAAACTTTCATTCATTTATTCCACCTATTTATTGACTCATCTTTTTATGAATTCAAATTTTCAAAAATCCATTCAAAATCCTTGAACGTATTCATTTCGTTATTTCTTCATTTATTTCTTGTATTAAAGTATTCTCTTTTTCGTATCAACTATTCATTTGTTCATTTATAATTATTTTGAATAATCATTCATTCACTCATTCACCCTTTAAACTATTTATCACATTCATTTAACCTTTTATTCATTCATACATTTATCCAAGGTTATAATTCAAAAGACTCTTTTCCTTTTAAGTATTTCAATATTTTATCATTTTGAGAAATGTTTAACTTGTAAAACGCACATATGTATGTAGTCAAGGTTATAATGCAAGGAAAGTTAATTGCAGTTGCGTACACTCTGCGTACATATTGAAACCAGTTCTCTCTGGGCGGATTTTGTAAACAAGAATAGATGCATCAGTGTTTGTTTAGTATCCAAGGAGGTTAAAAAAATTGAATTTTGATAATTTTGATGATTCAAATAATAGTTTCCTATGACCAAAATATTTCATTGATTTTTTATGTGAAAGATGTTTTCAACTTTATAACACTGCGAACCAAAATAATAGTGTTATAAATAGTTAAATAAGTTACTATATTGAATTTTTGGTTTTTATCGCGGTGTTAACAGGGACTAGGAATAAAGGGAAAGGAAGTGGCGCTGGTCTGGCATGAAAAAGCCAGTCGCACTGCTTTGCAGACCAGTACGGTAACCTTACACACACTCTTTTGGTACAGACACACAACATGATTACAGTCAAGGAAATTGCAGAACAATGTTGTCAATTATAATTAAGCTTGAATAACGACTATATTTATTGTAAACTTTAATCAAGTTATATTCTTTGCATAAAAACTTGGAGTATAGTGTTGACTCAAATATGTAAATAATATATTACATTCATCTTAAACTTATTTTTAAGTAAGCAATTAACAATAAACAAATGTACTCTCCTAGACTGTACAAATACCGAGATTCATACGTAACTGTATAAACCTACAGTACACACCTTCGGTACGGTAACCTTACACACACTCTTTTGGTACAGACACTCCCCCATGACGTTTCCTCCCCCTGGTTGTTAACAAATTATTAGAATCTTTAATTTGGAACAACCTTAATTCTAGGTTTTATTTAGATTTTGAAATTGAATTCTCTTTTTATTCTATTATTTTTGAATGACTTGCAAGACTGAAATGAATTTTAAATAAGTTTTGGTTTTTGAATTGAATTTCTTATTGTATTTATCTACTTCAAAAACTTATAAATTTTCCTCCAGTGATTTGAATATGTTTCCTTCTCTAGAATTCATAATTTTCTCTAATTTTTCTTCAAAAGATTTCTTTCTGAGAAAATTTGAGAAGAAAGGAAAAACTGCTAACCCCCATTAATCATTTAATGTTGATGTTCAATCAGTCCAAAACCTTTCATATAATTTATCATAATGGGGGGGGGGGGTCGATTTCAGAAAAAGATTTTTCTAAAGTCAGAATGAATGAATTATTTTACAGGGTTACCCACAAAAGAGGAGACTTTATTCTTACATTGCGGTTCCCTGATTAGCTTCATCATGGTTCCCTGATTAGCTTCATCACGGTTCCTTGATTAGCTTCATCATGGTTCCCTGATTAGCTTCATCATGGTTCCCTAATTAGCTTCATCATGGTTCCCTGATTAGCTTCATCATGGTTCCCTGATTAGCTTCATCATAGTTCCCTGATTAGCTTCATCATGGTTCCCTGATTAGCTTCATCATGGTTCCATGATTAGCGTCATCATGGTTCCATAATTAGCTTCATCATGGTTCCCTGATTAGCTTCAAACCTTTTTCTTTCTTTTTGCTTTGTAATCCCCATATGCAAGGTCGTTATCAAAGTCTTATTCTTCGTGGGCAATCCTTTATGCGAAATGTACATTCTAGAATCAAATTAAGTTTTCCGTTTATAATGCCTAAAGTGTTTTATGTCATCATTAAAGTATCATGCTTTGTGAACAACCCTGTGCGTAGAATTTTTTTTGAAAATAAAATTTATTAAAATTGACAACATTTTTTGTAGATTGGAGTAACTCCCGCCACCTCGCACAATGAGTCCTTGTTTGCTCTGGAGGGAAGTCTTAGCTCCTACTCTACTGCTCTCAGTGTTACTATTGCTATAGGAACAAGATTAAATTCAGCACGAAGTAATAAAACCAAGGTTTATTAAGGTTCGATATTCTGGATGCTCTCCAATGTAACAGTAATGTCGTCTTCATAGCAATGGAAAATCAAAATCCTCAAATGACCTGACTAACTGTTGGCGGAAGGTGAACTGACAAGTGACAACGTAGCCTTGCTGGTGAGAGAGAAGGGAGGATTTGTACAGCTGACCAGTTTTGAAGACGACATTTTTATCACATTGGAGCGCATTCAGAGTATACAACCTTAATAAACAACCTTGAATACAACTAAGAAGAAGAGGAAAGGGATTGTCCACTTCCTACCTCTGAATACCTCTGAAACAACCGTTAGTTAATTTTGTTTGCTCCGAGCCGGCCCTCCTTAAATGTAAAGTATTGTTTGATTGTTTCAAATAAAATTAGTTCTACACTCTAAGAAATTAGTAATTACCAATTTTTATCTAAAAATATTGTCGGAGCACCGGAGACAAATTCAACTGAGTAGCATCATTCTTCAAGATTTGGTAGATATGAAATATCATTCATAAACATTTGAGAGTTGTTTACTAAGTTGAATTCGGCTCCAGTGCTCCAACAGAGGAATTGAGTTTCTGCAACAAAATTAATTTTTCGAATCCCTATATCTTTGCAACCTGATGGTGTAAACCATTGATATTTCATACTGAGATTATTTGATAAATAAAACAGAGAACTCAATTCCTTGTTTTAGATGAAAATTTGACATTTTTTTTGAGTGAAATGTAGAGAACCGTAATTCCCCATTCTCCTTCGTAAATGTAATTATTGAAGGCTATTTTTCTTTCTTTTTCTATTTGTATTTTTTTTAAATCATGGTTGTCACGTTTCCAAGCGATGACATTTTTACCTGAAACCAACTTTTTATCAAAATGTATGGATGTAAAAAAGTGGAAGGATTCAAACGAACACAATCTGGAGCAAAAATAAATTCTTTTGTTAAATTTAATTTGCAATTTTTCACTTATCAATCAAACACAATTGTACAGTACAAAGAAAAAATATTAAAAAATTTTCAACAAAATTGTTAGAAGTTTAAATATTTTTATATTATCAAACTATAATCTAAAAGAAGGGAAATCAAATGTTCTAATCCCTATATCTTTGCAATTTAATGGAAAATTTGATAAGTTAGAATTCATTGTTTGAAATATCTACAACATCGAGTTTCAAAGATAAAGGGATTGAAAAATCAGAGTTTGTGGCAGAAATTCAATTCTTTATTTTCATCGGATAAATTACAAACTATCCAGGAAAAAGATACTTACCCCTTTAATCTTGGAGAAAACTAGGAACCTCACTTCTCATTCTTAATATCCTAATCTTTGCTGCTGTATACTACCAGAGGGATAGGAACAAGATGGGTTCAAGGTACATTTAACCTTTCATCCTTTATTTATACTTTCATCCTTTCTTTATACTTTCATCCTTTCTTCAAATAAACTCTCATCCTTTCTTCATATATACTTTCATCCTTTCTTTATATATACTTTTATCATTTCTTTATATATATAGTTTCATCCTTTCATCATATATATTTTCTCCTATCTTTATATTTGCTTTTATCCTTTCCTCTTTCTTCATATATACTTTCATCCTTTCTTTATATATACTTTATATATTCTTCAATTATACTTTCATCCCTTCTTTGCATATGCTTTATATATTCTTCATATACACTTCCATCCTTTCTTTATATGCTTGCATCCTTTTATTTCTTTAAATTTTCCCATTTTTAAGAATGTATTTCTCTTTTGTTTAAATTATTCTTTCTTTCTTAAATTTATTCATCCTTTCTTTCATTTAGTCATTTATCCTTTTTATAATTAATCGCTTTTTTGATCAGATTAATTGCACGCATCCTTTCTTCCTTTCATTCTCTTTCACATCCTTTCTTTTTTATCCTTTTTTTGGTATATTCCTTGTGACTGGCACTGACCTATTTTAAATATTTTCATTTCTTCAGAAAATTGTAAAAAAAAACATCCTGTATTGACCCACTTAACGCTTTCATACTTTGTTTATGTTTATGTCAGCACCTTTTATCCAAACATTTTCTTTGAACCTCAATACATAATATACAGTGAAAACAAGATATCTGTGGAATAGGAAGACGACATCAAATCATTACTAAGAGTATTTTATTTTGTTCTTTTTAACTGAATAATTCTACTTGCATGTTATTAAATTTCACTTATCAAGTGAAATGGATCTGTTAACTCTGCACTATTGATGCTTCTCATGTACATTGGACATTTTAAGGTCTTCACTTGGGTCTTAAATTTGTCTTCACGTTCCAGAGTTTTCTAGTTTTTACTGGATGTGAAGTGTATATTACTAGCCTTAGAGGGCGCTTCGCGCCAATATTCTAAATTAATTATGAACATGTTCTCTTTGTGTACATCGTAAAACAAAAATAATTCGCAGATTTTCACAAAAACTTTCGTGGATTTCCAAAATTTTCAAAAATTTAATGAAGATCGAATTTTGATGGAGACAAATATTTGAAATTTGATCATTCATAAACCTTCCCTGGGGTCCCTAGATGTCCGACAAAAAATTTGGGCCCGATCGGTTCAGCCGTTTTGACAGACAGACAGACAAGCCAAATTTATAGAGAGATTGCCTTCGTAATAATATGTTTTATCATCACCATACAGACAGCGTACTAACTTCACTCATATTTCAAGTTTACCTCTATTCTGCTCTCTTTGTGGCAATTATACAGAATTGTAAAGCAGGGACATTATTTTAATTGACCCTATACTTTTAGGGGGGCATTGGTTTAGGTAAGAATGAGTGTCGGCAAACTCGAAGCTACAGTGTACAAAACATTCCAGCGTGCACTCGAGTTTCCAGGCACTCAATTTTCAGCTGTGAACATAAAGATATCTAAGTCCTACTGAATCAGATAAATGTTTAAAGAGAACTGTAGTAAAGCAGGCTTGGTTCTAGCTAAATGTTACGTTACTTGAACATATATCTTCACTATACAGTACAGTCCCTTCAAGCGTAAATGATCTGTTCTAAAAAGTCGAATTTCATGATTTTTCAGAATTTCTTTACCCTTGTGTTTCCAGGTACAGTTTATCCCATGGGTCAGATCCTGGAGCACCGGTCAACCTGACTCAACCTCTAGGCTCTCATCCTCCCAGTCTTAGTGGTAGCATTAATATGTCGAGAACACCACAATCCAGGAAATCAATCAATCAATCAAATTCAAAATCAATTAATCAAATAAACAAGTAATTGAGCAATTAATCGATTTTTGTTTAGTTTAGTTCTCCACATCATATGATAAATTTTTATTGTTCTATTTTTATTGTTTAGTTCTAAACATCATATTATAAATTTGTTATTGTTATTTTTGTTATTAATTGATTGCTGGTTGTTAGGAGGCAATCCTGCCGGTTATCCTATACTGGTGGAGGAGGACCCAGCAGTGCTTACCTGCCTCCACCACAGTTTGCTGACGGTCAGAGTTCAGAGTGCTCTGAAACCTTCTCTCTAGGTGGAGGGGGACCTATGGGAGTAGTTCCTATCAGTATTTCAACTCTACCCCGGAGATGCCACCAGGGGGTTGGGTCGGATACACAACCCTTGATTATTGGAGCATCTTTCCGAACCCTGCCCAGGAACCCGGCAGACATGTCTAGACCTTACTCCGGGACCCAGGACGGGTCTTCTCCGGGTACACAGACACTACCGCTCAAGAGCAGTTTGAAGAAACCATCAACAAGACCGGAGACAATTCTAGCAGGCAGGGAACTAGACATACCATGATAATTCGGGGGGGGGGGTTGGAGGGGGATTGGGAGAGGGTGCTAGCAAGGAGATACGACTAAGATGTTGCTTGTAATATTTTCTAAAGGAAAAATATAGAAAATATATTGAAGAAAGATAAATTACGGAGAAAATTAACCTTATTTTTATTCCATCCCATTGATTTCAGGAGTTTCAGGGGCTTTTTGGAGGAACTGCAGTGTTTTTATACATTACATATACATAAAACAATATACATTACATATAGATTAAATCATATATACTCTACATATACATTAAACAATAAACATACACCAAAAACTGGCAAAAAATGTGTCATTGCTATTCAAAGATCAACTTTCAAAGATTAGTAGTGTTACCATATAAAAATGGTATGAAATAAAGGAAGTCTAAAGCCTGAAAACTGATGTGAGTAAATCTACAGAGTATAGGAAAAAATGTATTTACAAGTAAAAAATGTAGAAATAAAAAGATAGTAATGAATCATGAAAAGCCGGAGTTCTCTGACGGACTCTCCGCCTCTCTTTCGCCTCATAAGACGAGTTAATCTTCCGTCTTCGGATCCTTCATGAACACTAACTCTGTTTCGTTTTTAGTCCAGGCCAATTCTATTTACTTCTGCCTCATGTCAAATCATGTCTCATGCCTATTGGCTTGAATTCAAACTTAGAAAATATAATTCCCGGTCCAACGCCCCCAAACATGCGTTCAAACCTTCTCTGGGTTGGCATTTTTTAACGGCCAAATCTTCCTACAAGATATGAATGAGATGAATTATTAATATTATCCGTTTCATCTTCTGTCCAACCTATATCTATACAAAGAGCTAATATGTTGTCTTGTTTATAGGCCGGACTACTTTGCAATCCGAGCTTAGCTCCAGGTCTGTATGAGGACTGAAGGGGTTACATCAATAGAACTATCTAATCTGAGTTTATCCCCGGGTTTGTATGAGAACTGAGGGGATTGCATCAATAGAACTATCCGTATTCCGAGCTATTGAGCTCACACTGGTTACATCTTAGATCCGGATCCGTATAAGGACTGAAAGGGTTACAGTAGCTTGAACATCAACTTTATTCCTTGTTAAACTTGGTTCCCAAGCTATTTTCTAATATATATGCATATTTTATAAAAATACAGGGTGAGTAAAAAAAGGGTGAAAGCGAGATCTTGCATAAAGTAAAGCATTTTCTTGGTAATCTCATTTTTGACAAATATGTATGAAATTTTAGAAAAATTTGTTATAGAAAAACAAAAGTGCTTGAATTTATTACTTCTATCACCTGAAAAACGTAAACAGATTAAATGAGTAGTTTCGGAGAAAATTTGCGAAATTTAAATAAGAAAATCCTCAAAAATCAACATATTTTAATAATACACTCTTTTATGCGTATTTTCCTTTTATTCTTAATTAATTAGACCTCAAAAATCAATACTAAAAAATGTACGTAGAAAGAATAAAAATCATCAAAATGATTTTTTCAAAAATAAAATTGCGGATTTTATGAATTTAATTTCGCAAATTTTCTCCGAAACTACTCATCTGATCTATTTAAGATTGTAAGGTGTAATATAGAAATAATATACTACCACACTTTATACGCGGATTTTATACATAATTTACAATAATGATATTACCAAAAAAATGCTTATTATATGCAAGATCTCGCTATTCACCTTTTTTCAACTTCCCCTGTACATTTTAATTAAATTTCGAAATATAAAATGCAAGATTTCAGGGCTGAAGGATGAAGAATATATAGTTCTCTAGGGATCATATATATATATGAATATATATATATATGTATATATATACATGTATATATATATATATTCATGTATAATAGGTAACTAAGAATTCCAGGCACTTTGCGCCCTAGTTGCAAACCTAGACATTTGATTTATTTTATATTAAATATATTTAATCGCTGTACACCATCCTACATCATCCTGATTCATCAATTGATGTATTGTATCTTGTCCTGATTATATTTCTACATCTATATATATATAAATATATATTTTAAGAAGTATTCTCTGTTTGTCTCTTTGTATGTTTATACACAGGCATAGTTCATTCAAAATTCATGGAACCCTTGACCGATTTGTCTAAAATTTAGATTGATGAACTAGGGAGAACCATGGGACTGTTCTTATCTTGATTTAAAACTTCAAAGTGTTAAGTTTATAGAGAAAAGGAATTGACTCGTTGCAACCTGAAAACATGAAAACTGTGGATATTTCAATCTTAGATTATTTGATCTGACAGAATTCATAGTTTAAAATATCTGATGTAGACGACAATAGGTTGCAAAGATATCGGGATTAGAAAATGAGAGTTTGTGGCAGCGACTAGAATAGAATGAATATAATGAATAGAAGGAATATATTAACTTTCCCTGTATTTGAAGTCTAACCTGGTCTATATTTGATGAATAGAATAAATATATTTGAAGTGTATCCTGGTCTATATTTTATGAATAGAATGAATATATTACTCTTCCTGTATTTGAAGTGTATCCTAGTCTATATTTGATGAATAGAATGAATATATTTGAAGTGTATCCTGGTCTATATTGGATGAATAGAATGAATATATTTGAAGTGTATCCTGGTCTATATTTGATGAATAGAATGACCGTCAGTTTTGTTGAAATTAATTACTCTGGGGTTCATTAATTCTCCATATTCCTCATGGAATCTATGTTGAAAAGAATCATTAAAGTGAGTTCCTTTAATGGAACTCTTGCTTTATCAAACTAGTATCCCACACACTAAATACATCAATTAAAAAGAATTATAATGTAAAGATAGTCATTTCAGAGTTGTACTGCAGTGTACTGTCTCTGGGCATTGAAGTAAACAAAAGACGGATGTCACAGCCTGACATGGGATCCATCTTTCACATAAAAAGTCAATGAAATATTCTGGTCATAGGAAACTATTATGTGAATTATCAAAATTATCCAAATTAAATGCTTATATCCTCCTCGGATACTAAAGGAAAACTGATGCATCTATTCTTGTTTTTTTTGTTTCAAATACCGCCCAGAGAGAACTGGTTTTAGTATGTATACGCAGAGCATACGCGACCACAATTAACTTTCCTTGCCTTATTAACTTGCCACAACCAGCGTTAGTAAAACCCTAATATTTTGTTCGTAAATACAAAACTACGGAAAATATAATTATGAATAAGCAAATTACAAAAAAAAAATTTGAACTCACTGAATATGAAAGTAGTTTAAGTAAAAGCATATATGAACACCCTGCAATAGCGTGCATCAACCTGAATATGGGATATGATGTCAGGCGTTTATCTCTCTTCATTTGGGATTACAATATAAACTCCCACCAGCCAAGGGGTATTGTATTGCACAGGGATATAAAGACAGCACATGAAACTAACTAAACCAATATTTGCAGTCATGTATTGATCTCTCATTCAAAATACGTCATTCAAAATACGTATAAATAGTGTAATATATCTTATAGACATGAATATTTAGAATATGTATCCCAACAAGAAAGTAAAAGATAGCAATTACAAAAATTTTTATTCAAGGGGGAAAAATTAGTTAAGTTAAGACTCCCGGGACTTTTAATCAGAACCTCTAGTTCAAGCAAAAAGGTAGTTTTCGTAAAAGCATACATGAACACCCTGTAGCGTGCATCAACTTGAATATGGGATATGATTTCAGGGGTTTATTGCTCTTCACTTGGGATTACAATATTAACTCCCACCAGCCAAGGGGTATTGTATCCATACAAGGATATACGATTACGGGGGGAGGATGAATAAAGAGTTGAATATTTGAATGAATCTAGTTCCTGAGCAGACCCTGAGGGAGGTGTGGAGGAGTTGAGAGTATGACACAAGCTGATAAATACAGGTTAAAGAATATTCTTAATCAAGGAAAATTATGTTCAACCCTAAAAATCTGGGAGATCAATAGATAGACATACATATCATTATAGGTACTCTGAAGAGGAAATGTAGTTTTTTTCATGTTCAGTCACTTTTTGGAAAGGTTAAAAAGGTCATTTTATTATTGAAAAATACGTGACACATCTTTTTCAATCCATTTTTCAAGGGCTTTTTAAATACCCACAATATACACATGCTATGTTCCTTGTTAAAGCTATTAGTCTGTACCCTTCCATGTGCTCTCAAAAAAAATAGCAAAAACGCTTCCTTCTTTGTCTGGGTTAAGAAGTTTCAATTGGGGGGTCACCAAATGCCCCCAGACTGCCTTTTGGTTCAAGGATTAAAGTAAGTATAACTTTGAAAGTAACTTTAATCAGAAGTCGATGAATATTTTTTTCTCTATTTCAAATTATTGACTCAAAGAATCTTTTTTTTTAAATACTAAATCTGTATGAAAGAATACAATTTTTGATTTTCACAATTCAGAAATTTTATATGAATAGTAGATTTCAAAGATGACTATGTATTTTAATCTTGAAGTGTAAAGATCTTTTTGTCACATTGAATTTAGAAGACAAACATTTTGTTTGTCACGAACTATAAAGTTTAAATTTAGAAAACATTATAAGGGAATTCCAAATATGAGAACTGTACACATTTTCATTAAAATTTTCGATATCCTAATAATAGAAATTAAATATATCCAAATAGTAAAACTTAATAATTTTCTAATCCTCATCTCTCTGCAATCTGCAATGTTATATAACCTATGATATTTTTAAAAAATCTGTGTGATCAAAATGCCGTAGTTTTAATTATTAAAATTTGACACCATCATGTTGCAAATAGATAGGGATAGAAGGAAAATTAGACAAATAATCAGTTCCGTCGTAAAATGTGCAATCAAAAATTTGAAATCTTAATCCTATTGTTAGCTTTTTTTAAAACTTGTAACCCAAATTTAAGTTAGTAACCTGCACATAACCCGTTATTAACCCATTTATAACCCAATTTATAATTTATTTACCACCGCACCCCAAAGCCAGATTATCATTTATTGAATAGAATATTGTTCTATGGTTTATTATGAATCATACCAATGTAGTATTATCACTTAAAGTATTCTCCAGCAAAACAATTTAAAAAGACATTACTTGTTTAGTCTATATTCAGAAAGAGACAATATTTCCAGTGACTCTATATATCTATAGAGTGGCTTATAGTACCCTTTAAACCTTTAACTGATCTTTTTTTTACCAAAGATTAATTATTCTATGTTGTGGGTTCATTATAAATATTTCTGTCGGATCTCTAAAATAATTAACAAAATTGATTGAATTCAACACGTTATATTAAGTGTTGCTTAAAAATTACATCTNCTATTCTAGCTCCCTTGGAAACTTTTCCATTCATATTCAATTTCCTGAATAGGAGCTGTTTAAGCCTGCTAGGGGGAGGATATCAGATTCATAGTTAATCTCAGGGTTTAAGATATATAGGGGCAAACATAGTTTATCTCAGGGTTTGAGATATATAGGGGCAAACATGGTTAATCTCAGGGTTTAAGATATATAGGGGCAAACATGGTTAATCTCAGGGTTTTATATATATAGGGGCAAACATAGTTTATCTCAGGGTTTAAGATATATAGGGGCAAACAAAGTTTAAATTAGGTTTTAGGATACAAAGGGTCAACCATTGTTAATCTTAGGCTTTAGGATACATAGGGGTAAACTTAGTTAATCTCAGGGTTTAGGATACAAAGAGGCAACCCGTGTTAATCTTAGGCTTTATGATAAATAGGGGCAAACTTAGTTAATCTTAGGCTTTAGGAGACATAGGGGCAAACATAGTTGATCTAGTTAATCTATGAGAGGGGGGGGGGGGGTTTATGTGTATACTACAAATGTTCCACATAAAGAAATTTTTGTTTTGGAACGTTTTATCTACCTGTTTTATCTACCTGTTTTATCTACCTGTTTTATCTACCTGTGTTATCTACCTGTTTTATCTACCTGTTTTATCTACCTGTTTTATCTACCTGTTTACGAACAGGTTGGAAAATAATACGCGACTTTGCAGCCGCTACATTATCTTTTTATCAATTTATAGAAATCGATTTTTTGCCACAAACTCAAATTTTCTAATTTCTATATTTTTGCAACCTAATGCTGTAAACCTTTCGTTTTCAAACTTCGATTAATAAATTGAAATATATATGGTTTACGACCTTGGGTTGTAAAGATATAGGGATATGAAAATCAGAGTTTGTGACAAAGACTCAATTCCTTTAGAAAATTCTAAATCTATTTTAACTCTCCATTTTTCAAATATTATTTGGAATCTAGAGTTTCCTGAATTAGATATTTCCAATATATGTTCTCATAAAAATAATGATTTTCTTGCTCTTTCTTGGTCAAATCTGAAGATGTTTGCTTTTCTCAAGTTTTCGGTTCATCCGGAGAAAGTTTTATTTTAAAATTGTACCCAGTAAATTTAAGGGTTAAAAAAAGACTGTATTTAAACACTGAGTATCAATAGGAAGGATATCGTCGATATTCTAATCTTCAAAAAGCTTTAATTCTGTAAATTACGTTTTTATTAGAAAAGAGCATTTAGTATTTTGAAAAATTAAGATAATTTAATCTTTATTTGAGTCAGGATTAGGTTTCGGCAATGGCTAAAATTTAAGTTTAGCAGGGTTTAATTTGCCTGAATCATCCCTGAAACCGATTTTTATACAAAAAATCTAAAGTCTGTGAAAAAGTAAATGAAGAAGAAAACGGAAAAAAATCTAAAACTGAGCTGAAAAAAATGTGTTACTTTATGCATGGTAAAGTGGCATCAAATTCTAAATTGAACTTTATGTTTTAGGAGCGACCAGTTTCTAAAAGTATCAGAGATGCATCATGAAAATTCATTCTGCCGAGCACACAGAGCACCCAACCCAAACTGTATACAGAGAATTCAGTGAAAAAAGTATATTCAACAATAACCCCTGAAAGTGTTTAACTGAACAAAGAAAACAAGGGAAAACTCTTCTTTAGTGAGTTAAGACAAGTTGATTCCCAAAATCCGATATTTCTGAAAAGTTTGCGTAAACTTGAACTTAAATAAAATAGGTTTACGAAAGGAATTTCAAAAATTTTTGTTTATATAAAAAATGATTAAAACTATATTTATTATGATAACTTTGAACTACATCTATTGTTTGATGTTCTGAACTTTTGATATTGTATAAAATGAACTGGTACGCTCTGTCTAAGGTACCTTATATTATATGTTTTTAAACTTATCTGTTGTATTATATCAATAAATCTATCTAATATAAATAGACATTTTATTAATATTTCTGTTCCTATGATACATAGAAATCATGTTATAGCTGGGTTACCCATTGAAATGTGACTCCTAGAAACAATAGATCTTTTTAAACTTTTTAAACCAACAAAAAAATGAAAAAAAAATATTTTTTTGCATTTAAACGTTAAAAATGGGTTCCAACATGATGACTCTCTGACTAAATAATATCTTATGTTTCATCTCTTTTTCAAACTAATTCATGAAAATAAATGGAATATTTCACTTTTTACAATTTAATCAGGAAAGAAACAAATTAAATTTGAATTTATCTGAGAATTCAGCACGATGTGTATCCAACCCCACAGGGGCGGCAAGCACATGCAATGATGGAACTTACGGAATTATTAAATTATTATTCATATTCTCATATAGAGTTAATCATTTTCAGCTCCTTAATAACAGGTTTAGAAAATTAAATCATCATCATTAGGAAATTCAATTAAACATAATTAATTAACTAATTTGAATTCTCCCCAAACCTTAGATGTACAGTAAACACTGAAGGTTAGCCAAAAAGGATTAAAACTTTTTTAATCTTAAAATGCGTGAAAAAGTACAGAGCAATCAAGTCTCACTGTGATTAAAAGCAAAAATCTATGAGAATTGCCAATTACTTCTTAAAAAACCAAAGCAAACAACAAGTACGTTATAGTGCTAAAATGTCCATGTAAAGGGCTACAGAAAAGCATAAGTGAGTTTATGTGGAAAAATCTAAGCAGGCTAAATCTTTGTGCGCATCTTTGCCACAGACAATGAATTTCTAGTTCCTATATTTTAAAGACCTTGGACATTTCAAATTATGAATTCTTTGAGATAAAATAATCTAAATTGGAAATATCGAGGTTTACACATTCAAGTTGATGCAATGTTGATATGAGAATTCTATGAGTAGTTGCAATGTTGATATGAGAATTCTATGAAAAGTTGGAATGTTGATATAAGTATTATATGAGAAGTTGGAATGTTGATATAAGAATTCTATGAGAAGTTGGAATGTTGATATAAGAATTCTATGAAAAGTTGCAATGTTGATATAAGAATTCTATGAGAAGTTGCAATGTTGATATGGGAATTCTATGAGAAGTTGGAATGTTGATATAAGAATTCTATCAGAAGTTTGAATATTGATATAAGAATTCCATGAGAAATTGCAATGTTGATATGGGAATTCTATGAAAAATTGCAATGTTGATATAAAAATTCTATGAGAAGTTGCAATGTTGATATGAGAATTCTATGAGAAGTTGGAATGTTGATATAAGAATTCTATAAAATATTGCAATGTTGATATAAGAATTCTATGAGAAGTTGCAATCTTAGTATCAAACAGTTTAATGCACTGCGTCAGTAATATATTTATGTTTATTTCTGTGAAATTAAATTGTTTAAAGGTTTTAATAAAGTTTTCAAACAAAAAAGAGAATGCATATTCATGGTGAAAAGTTTCTTCATTTAGAGTCTTTTAAAACTTTTTCTGTTGAAATATATAATTAAAACTTTTATTTCAATCATCCGTTTTTAATAAGACATTATTTTTTTAATCCTGAACCCTTCAGTTTAATAGACATTCTTCCCTTCATCCTGATCCATTCAGTTCTATAGACATTCTTCCCTTCATCCTGATCCCTTCAGTTCTATAAACATTCATCCCTTCATCCTGATTTCTTCAGTCTAATAGACATTCTTCCCTTCATCCTGATCCCTTCAGTTTAATAGACATGCTGCCTTCATCCTGATCCCTTCAGTTCTATAGACATTCTTCCCTTCATCCTGATCCCTTCAGTTTAATAGACATTCTTCCTTTCATCCTGATCCCTTCAGTTCTATAGACATTCTGCCCTTTATCCTGATCCCTTCAGTTCTATAGACATTAATCCCTTCATCCTGATCCCTTCAGTTCTATAGACATTCTTCCCTTCATCCTGATCCCTTTAGTTCTATATACATTCTGCCCTTCATCCTGATCCCTTCAGTTTAATAGACATTCTTCCTTTCATCCTGATCGCTTCAGTTCTATAGACATTCTGCCCTTTATCCTGATCCCTTCAGTTCTATAGACATTCTTCCCTTCATCCTGATCTCTTCAATTTAATAGACATTCTTCCCTTCATCCTGATCCCTTCAGTTCTATAGCCATTCTTCCCTTCATCCTGATCCCTTCAGTTCTATAGACATTCTTCCCTTCATCCTGATCCCTTCAGTTCTATAGACATTCATCCCTTCATCCTGATCCATTCAGTTTAATAGACATTCTTCCCTTCATCCTGATCCCTTCAGTTCTATAGAGACTCTGCCCTTCATCCTTATCCCTTCAGTTCTATAGACATTCATCCCTTCATCCTGATCCCTTCAGTTTAATAGACATCCTTCCCTTCATCCTGATCCCATCAGTTCTACAGACATTCATCCCTTCATCCTGATCCCTTCAGTTCTATAGACATTCTTCCCTTCATCCTGATCCCTTCAGTTTAATAGACATTCTTCCCTTCATCCTGATCCCTTCAGTTCAATAGACATTCTTCCCTTCATCCTGATCCCTTCAGTTCTATAGACATTCTTCCCTTCATCCTGATCCCTTCAGTTCTATAGACATTCTTCTCTTCATCCTGATCCCTTCAGTTTAATAGACATTCTGCCCTTCATCCTGATCCCTTCAGTTTTAACATAAACACTTCTCTTCATCCTAATCCCTTCAGTATAGTTCCTTCATATGGATCCCTTCAGTCACATATATTGATTCCCTTGATCCTGATCCTTTGAACTTCTAATAGACATTTAACACTGAAAATGACACACTACCCTTTATAAGTATTTTTTTTTTAATTCTTAACTTCTCCAGTACTCTCCACAATATCCGGTATAGGATGTTGAATATGGTTGAAAAGACTAGAAATTTAAATACTTAAATATTATTTATGATGAAACAGTGTCTATTTATTCTCTAGAGCTAGTGGAGAAGAGCCAAATGTTAATTTATCTTCTCTTAAATATTATTTATGATTAAACAGTTTCTATTTATTCTCTAGATCTAGCTAGGGGAGAAGAGCCAAATGTTAATTTAGCTTCTCTTAAATATTATTTATGATGAAACAGTTTCTATTTATTCTCTAGAGCTAGGGGAGAAGAGCTAAATGTTAATTTAGCTTCTCTTAAATATTATTTTTGATAAAACAGTTTTTTATTTATACTCTAGAGCTAGCTAGAGGAGAAGAGCCAAATGTTAATTTAGCTTCTCTTAAAGATTATTTATGATGAAACAGTTTATATTTATTCTCTAGAGCTAGGGGAGAAGAGCTAAATGTTAATTTATCTTTTCTTAAATATTATTTATGATGAAACAGTTTCTATTTATTCTTTTAAGCTAGGGGAGAAGAGCTAAATGTTAATTTAGCTTCTCTTAAATATTATTTATGATGAAACAGTTTCTATTTATTCTTTTAAGCTAGGGGAGAAGAGCTAAATGTTAATTTAGCTTCTCTTAATTCACACAACTCACACTTGGAGGCAAACTTTAACAGTTTATCCTTCTACAGGCAAATTATTGTAAAATTATCAATTCAAAATATTTAATTTCAGATTTTAAAGATTTTAAGATTTGAATAATTGTATTCCATACTAGATAAAATAAACTTGTTTAAAAGGACTGTAAGCTAGAGGTGCTAATGCCTGATTCACAACGGTACCCTGAGAAGATTTATAAAATCAAGAATAAATAATTTAATTTTGAAAACTTTTTTTTTCAAATTTGTTTTCTCTATAAAAGTTACAATTGGGCCATTTTCTGTTGCAGGTAAACATATAAAATTTATCAAAATTCAAACACCTTGAACCGAAAAAACGACAATATCCTTCACATCATTGAATAGATAAAAGTTTCAAGGTGAATCGGACATTGCTAACTGTACATAAAGTACGTTCCTGCTGCTAGGTAAGTGCCTGGTGTTGTCGGTAGAATATAAAAAAACGTCAAAAAAATCTGCAAAAAAAAACTACCTCCTGCGTAGTAACATACGCATAAACAAATGCAACGCTCTTTTTTATATTTGCGTTAAATCATAATTGTTTAAAATATCTCAATTTAAAATTTTTTAATAATTTAATGAAAATTCTAAAACAGTTTCACTTGATTTTGTTTTCTAGGTTTTTTCTATTTAACTACTTTTAGAAATGTAGTGATGAATAGAAAATTTAGAATAAACAAGATAATTATTCAAAATAGATGATCTTCATATTTTCAAAATTTAAGAAAAGATTGAAATCAAGATATAACATTTGCTTCAATAAATAAGGTAAAAATTTGTCCTATTAGTTCACAATGAACTCATGAACTCGATGTAGTGTATACAATATACATATATTCAACAAACCTTTTACGTTTTTAATCATAATATCTTTATTGAAAGAGCTAAAAATGAGAAAAAATAAACCGTTCTGATATGTACTCATTGCTTCTCTTATTTGGGAATCTAAATAAAATAGCTACAAGGTCCCAAATCGTAAATTTTACCCTCGGTCTAGTTTGCCACATCTGATTATGAGATAAAACAATCTATTCTGGTTGATATAAATCACAATATTCATTGTACTCAGGATCTACTCAGACACTGACAACAAATGCCTTTCCTTAAAAAATCATGATTTTATATGAAAAATATATTTTTTTAATATGACACATCACACAATATTTGCGGTGAACATGTAGATTTGATTTGATTGTTGTACTACAGTATTTAAAGCAATATCATAATAAGTGGCAAAACTGACAGTGAAAATATCTAAAAATACATAATAAACCCCCTTTCCTTTTCCTAGCAATTCATATGAATCGCTAAATTTTGCAAAACAGGGTGGACTTCTTGCCTTCTTAAGTTAGGGGCATGCCCCCCCCTTGGGCTTGGTTTGGGGGGGCCTTGCCCATCGCCCCCCCCC